AATATTTGTATTTTCGGGGAATCGAACCATCGGATGCAGTGTGCTTTACCGTTAGACCTAGTTTTTCAGGAAGGGTATATTAAGGTTTCTTAAGGGTCGGCAACGCGCACGTGACACCCCTGGTGTTTCAGGCGTCCATAGGCTACGGTAACCGTTTACCATCAGATGAGCCGTATGCTTGTTTGCCACCATCATCATCATCTGCTTCTTCCTTATCCCATTTATTTGTGGTCGTCGTAATATGTTTTTCTCTTCCATTCATCTCTGTTCGCAGTCATCTCGTTATTTACTCCCTTTCTTACCATATCATCTTTCACACAGTCCATCCATCTCTTTTTCGGCCTTCCTCTGCCCTTATAACCATCCACATTCATATGTAACACCTTTTTTAAAATATTATCCTCGTTCCTTTTTTTTTTTATAACACAGGGGACAAACGAGCATGCGTCTCACCTGATGGTAAGTGATTACCGCCGCCCATGAGCACCCGCAACACCAGGGGAATTGCAAGTACGTTGTCGGCCTTTTAAAAAGGAATAAGCTCTTTTCTTGAAGGTTTCAATATCGTATAAATATTATCGTTCCTACGCATTACATGTCCATACCATGATAGACGATTACTCTTCAACCTCTCCGACACCGGCGCCACTTTCATACTTCCTTCTTACATACATACTTGCTTGTTTGCCACCATCGTACTATAAAAAAAACCAAAAATCACACCACCGCGGCTGAAGAATGGTATTTTTATTATCTATTCAATTTTCTCCGGTAGACATGGCCCCCCTACCATGAACCATAAGAGTGATATTAACATAACTTGATGGATCATCCCATCCATTCTTTGTCCCATTGTCCGTCCGTTGCATATAGATTAGGCCCTTGTGAAGTGATTTCCATAGGTTATCCGGATTTTTGACTAAAATTACGATAATCAACATATATATAGAGAGAATAGAATATAAACATATTTGAATACCCCTATGGTCCAATGGTTTGGTACAACGCATTTTCCGACGGTCGCGGGTTCGATTCCTCGCACGATGCTAATATTCGTATTCATTAGTATGATTGTTTACTTTGATCTAGGTGATTTCTATATATTCAAAAATGAAAATATCTTTATTCATGTAGGTCTATTACAGACTCTTATGATATGTCAAATCTACCGTCAGTTCGGAATGATATCGAGATGAGAAGAACAGACAAGACATTCAGCTCGTATTCTTATCAAATAAATAAAGACAAGTAAGACTTACTTAGATATTTTTTAAAATTTTGTAAATGTAAACATATTGCTTGTGAGGACTGATCTGTTCAGGTTATGCATTACAGAACGCTGATTAGACTATTTATGCTTTTGCAATAGCATATGCTGATGGTCACTCTATTCTCCCAAATTTGAATTTAAATCAATCTGTATTATTGTAAACATGTACAACATTTATTTGAAAAGAATACGAGCTGAGTTTCTTGTCAGTTCTCATCTCGAAATCATTCCGAACTGACGGTAGATTTGACATATCATAAGTCTGTAATAGACCTACACGAATGAAGATATTTTGATTTTGAAGTGAGTGTTCCCTCAGTTCGGATCACCGGGTGATTCATCAACAACACATTACCCGTCCTGCACACTCAACAAACGATTACACACGGACGAACGGGTTCGAATCCGGCGCGAGCAGAGCAGAAAATTACCACCCTCCCTCAGATACATGTCACAGACGTAGGAATCAAACGAAATATATTTCAAATCATATAATAATCTTCACTTCATTACATAGTATAAAATAAAATCGCTATCACTATCTGTCCGTCCTTATGTTAAGTTGTTTAAGCATAAACTAGCTTTTGCCCTCGGCTTCGCTCGTGTTAGTTTATCCCCTTAGGGGTGGATTTTATCAAAATCCTTTCTTAGGGGATGCCTACGACATAGTAGCTTTATGCATGCAAAATCTCAACCCGATCGGTTTAAAATTGACAAAGTTTCATATAAAATTTCATCCCTGTGGGGGTAGAATTAATCAAAATCCTTTCTTAGCGGATGCCTACGTCATAACATCTACCTGCATGTCAAATTTCAGCCCGATCCGTCCAGTGGTTTGGGCTGTGCGTTGATAGATCACTATGTCAGTCACCTTTGAGTGATATATATTTTTAGATCTTTTAAACTACGCAACGGATTTTGATGAAGTGTTCCGCAATAGATAGAGTGATTTAAGAGGAAGGTTTATATATACCCGTGCGAAGCCGGGGCGAGTAGCTAGTATAGTATAAAACAAAGTCGCTGTCACTGTCTGCCCGTCCTTATGTATGCTTAAATCTTTAAAACTACCCAACGGATTTTGAAGCGGTTTATTTTTAACAAACTCTTCAACCTCTCCGACGTCGGTGCCACTTTCATACTTCCTCTAATGTATTCATTCTTTATCTTATCCATTCTTGTCACATCACACATCCACCTCAACATGCGCATTTCAGTTGCATGCAGTCGTCTCTCATCCGTCATCTGGCAACCATCATGATTATGATCTTATTATAATCTCAGTACAATTCACACAGCGCCATCTAGACACAAGTTAAGCTAGGTAAAGCTTGTGTTATGGGTACTAGACAACTGATACAAGTACATACATTTTTTTCACATGGTCGGGTTCGATTCCTCGCATGGCACAAACATTTGTATTTATGAATATGATTGTTTGTATCTGTCTGGGTGTTTTCTAAGCATAGTATTATATGTATGTATTTACAAAAAAAATCTATGTATTTGTATCAGTTATCTAGTACCCATAACACAAGCTTTAGCTGGCTTAACTTGGGTCTAGATGGCGCTGTGTGAATTGTCCTGAGATTACTATATTACTATTACTAATGTTTTTCTTTGGGTTGATATTTTTAAATATTGTAACTTTGTTGAAAAACACTGAATAAATATTTCTTTTCTTTTCTTCTTTCTTTCTTTTCTTATCATCCTCCACTAGTGCCGCGCCAGCGTAAACCGTTAGCGTAGGCGAGTGCCCCATTCCATTATCATCCATAAAAAAAATTTTGACACCAAAAACCTTTCGTAATCTATTCATACTTCTGTCTGACTCCTTAGTTATTAAGGAGCCAGTCAGTCAGGAGTAATATCTGAATTTCTGACTGACTTCATACCTTTATTATGGAGCCTAGTCCAGGAGTTAAGTCATTTCTGATGACTTTTAAAAAACCGCGTCATGGTCGACCAGAGCTATACCCCCCTCTCCCCCTTCCTTCCCCCTTCCTCCCCCACTCCTCAGACAGATGTATTGGCTCCGTAATAGTCGTGTACATCAAACAATTCAATTATACCCACAAATGTACCGGAATGATCGCCCCCCGCATCCACTGTTGTAATTGTATGCCATTGTATCCACTCCAACGGATACGGGAGGTTGCTATTCTATATTCAACTCTATTAATGTGGTTATATGATGTATAATATATAAATTAGTACAGTATTGCTAATTTTATATTTCGAAATAAAAGCAAAAGCTACTTCCATAGTTTTGTCGCCAATCATTGTTCAATATTCAACTCTATTTATTTGGACATATAGTGTGTAATACAAATGACTATAATGGTATTAAATTTTTTAGCTGCAACAATGTTCATTTTATATTTTGAAATATAAGTAGAAGCTACTTCCATATATTTCAGTTTTATCTCCGAAAGTCGTGAATTCGATTCCTCGAACGGCATACATATTTGTATTCGTGAGTATGATTGTTTGTATAGGTGTTTTTAATATATATTATGTATGTATTTAAAAATATAATGTATGTATGTATTTAACAATAAATGTGTGTAATTATTCTATCAGTTGTTTAGTCATAACACAAGCTCTGCTTATTTTCTAGTGTTACAACAACGTTCCTAATTTTTATTTCCAGGAGGAACCGCGTGGAGGTCAACCTGGATTGTACTAAGAATCCTAATATTCTCCCTCTCCCCTTCAAAGTTAGGATTATATGACATACAACAACTAGATAGCGCTGTGTGAGTTGTATTGAAATATATAGTCCTGTACGGAAAAAAATAATTATAATGTAAAAACTTGACATTCATAAGCGGCTAAAATGTCCTACATGAATTAATGATTTTTGAATTTTGAATTTAGTAAACATGTACAACATTTATTTGAAAAGAATACGAGCTGAGTTTCTTGTCGGTTCTCATCTCAAAATCATTCTGAACTGACAGTAGATTTGATATGTCATAAGAGTCTGTAATAGACCTACATGAATAAAGATATTTTGAATATTAGTACGTTATTATTGAATTATAATCGTCGTGGAGATCTTTGGGGGAGGCCTATGTCCAGCAGTGGGCGTCTTCCGGGCTGCGATGATGATGATGATGATGATTATTGAATTCTCTAACTTTTCTAATGGTACAACAACGTTCCTAATTTTTCTTTCTAGGGGGCACCGCGTGAAGGTTAACCTAGGGTATACTAAGAGCGGCGGGTCGGAAATCCTACCATAGAGTGGGCGTCACATTGACTCCAAAATTGACCCTAGGATGGAGGATTGTTAGGGCAATCCGAAGCTCACCGGGGAGGCATTAGGGTCTGGAGGTGGCGTGCAGAGACTGTTCCCTGCACGCCTAGATGGAGGTCCCTTCGATGGGAACCATGCCGGTGGTCTTGGTGAATGCTTGCGTATCCCATGGCCACGGCGATTATGTCGAGGAGGAACAGTCGTCAGGTTTTTAGCAGGTAGGAGTTCGGCAGTATCCATTCTTCCCTAAGGGAATGGTTCTCCATGATGGATTTTCCTGACGTGAAAAAAAAATAAAGGGTATGCTAAGAATCCCAATCTTCATCATCATTATCTCAGCCCGGAAGACGTCCACTGCTGAACAAAGGCCTCCCCCAAAGATCTCCACGACGATCGGTCCTGCGCTGCTCGCATCCAATGTCTTCCAGCGATCTTAAATGTTAGTATTATACAACGTCCAACATTACTTACCAGTCTTGACTTGATGCTTCAGAGCTGACTTGCAATCCTCGAGCAGCTGCTTCAGGGGAAGCGGTTCATCGTGAAGAGTCAGGTCGAGGGTCTTCTGCATCTCTTCAGGCATCTTAAATTCCAAGATCTGAGTGGAGAAAGATTTATATTATTTAGAATATCCAAAAGATTTATAAATAAACAAAATTTTTTACAAAGTTTTTCATGTAATTTCCATTTCAGTTACATGTGAGAAAATGACCAAAATTGCCAGCTTAGCTTGCTATTAGGTTGTTTGCCATTTATGTACATAACTAGCTTTTGCACGCTGCTTCGCTCGCGTAGTATTATTGTTAATTAGGTGTAGTTTTTGCGGGTTTACTTTTGTTTAGCATGTATAAAAAATTAGGACATACATCAAAAGGACACAAATCATTCAAAAAAGATTTATACAAATTTTCATCCCCTATTTTATACCCTTAGGGGTAGAATTTATGAAAATTCTTTCTTAGGAGATGCCTACGTCATAGTAGTTTTATGCATGCAAAGTCTCAGCCCGATCGGTTTAAAATTGACAAAGTTTCATACAAACTTTCATCCCCTATTTTATCCCTTTGAGGGTAGAATTAATCAAAATCCTTTCTTAGCGGATGCCTACGTCATAACATCTACCTGCATGCCAAATTTCAGCTCCATCCGTCCAGTGGTTGGGGCTGTGCGTTGATAGATCACTATGTCAGTCACCTTTGAGTTATATATATTTAGATGTTGTAATTGTTCGACGTATGTATGTATGTGTATATATATGTATGTGTGTGTATGTAAATGTATGTTTATATCAATAATGGTTGTCAATAAATGTTTTTATATTCTATTCTATTCTATTACCTTCTCGTTCCTGTCGTTGACTTGCTGTATAAAGTCAAGTAAGACATCCACCACTCGCGCTAGGAACTCTCTTGTCTGAGCGTTAGCATCTTCACGGTAGGGCAGGATCGCTGTAACAAAATTATATTCTTTAATAATAAATAACCCTGGACATTTATTAGTGTACGACCCTACTTTAATGGTCCTTCGATCCTTCAAAGCCTACAATTTAAGGTCAAAATTACAATACTTTTTTTTTATAAATAGAATTTAGAATAACATTTATTTCATAAAATATAACTTACTCATGTACACGAATATATACCCTACAGTCATAACACAAGCTCTGCATATTTTCTAGTGTTACAACAACGTTCCTAATTTTTATTTCCAGGAGTTGTACTAAGAATCACAATATTCTCCCTCTCCCCTTCAAAGTTAGGATTATATGACATACAACAACTAGATAGCGCTGTGTGAGTTGTATTGAAATATATAGTACTGTACGGAAAAAAATAATTATAATGTAAAAACTTGACGTTCATAAGCGGCTAAAATGTCCTACATGAATTAATGATTTTCGAATACTTTTACAATACTTTTTTTTTTAAATAGAATTTAGAATAACATTTATTTCATAAAATATAACTTAATCATGTACACGAATATATACCCTACAGTCATTTTAATAGGGTCAATAGTTCAGGTATAGAATAGTTGATGTTTTATAGGAACGGGTATAAAAATTTACAATAAGCTACAGAAGGATATACTGGAATTACCCTTAATATTGCGTATAGCATAAATACAGAAAAACTTAACCCTCCATTGCTCGCTTGGCCGCACAGACCGGCCTGATTAAAAAGTCGAGCTCTTTTTAATAACAGCGCCCTGTCTGGGTCCAGAAATATAAGAATAGGGTTACCATATATACTATAAAGATTTGTCTGCAAGAAAACTGTGTCTTTTGTAAACGGCCCCTACGGTCTAGTGGTTAAACTACCATATGATTTGTAAACGGCTTCGGTCTAGTGATTAAACTACCATATGATTTGTGTGTAAGAAGACTGTGTAGCGGTAGTACATCCTACTTCCGATGGTCGCGGTTTCGATTCCTCGTACGGCACAAACATTTGTACTCATGAGTATGATTGTGTTTATTTGGATGTTTTTTTTATGTATATGTAAGTATTTACAAAAAATATATAATTGTATGTATTTGTATCAGTTCTCTAGTATCTATAAAACAATCTCTACTTATATTGGGACTAGATGACGTAGTGAGAATTGTCCAGGGGTTTATTTTAAAAACTTTTAAAAAAGAGCTGTCTCGGCATACCCTGTTTTGCCTTAAAAAAAAAAAAAAATAGGGGTCAACTACCCCTAACATTTAGGGGGATGAAAAATAGATGTTGGCCGATTCTCAGACCTAATCAATACGCTCACAAAATTACATGAGAATCGGTCAATCCGTTTCGGAGGAGTATGGGAACGAAAACTGTGACACGAGAATTTTATATATAAGATACTACTACTGTACGACACTACTGAAAATATATGTATTTATCCTGCATTTTCCTAACAGTATAGTCACCGGGGATACAAAGGGATACAAAGGGACGTATTGTCGTAGTCATCCGCTCACAGATGTCTTTGATTCGTGATCAGAATTAGTAAGGGCACTGCGGAAAGCTTCCGTGACAGATGTACACACAAATATATACCCTACACTCATTTTAATAGGGTCTATAGTTCAGGTATAGAATAGTTGATGTTTTATAGGAATGGGTATAAAAATTTCCAAAGGATATACTGTAATTACCCTTAAATAAATTCAAAACATCTGTTAAATCATATTTACTGAGCAAAGCCTATTACTCACTAAACGATTACTTGAATAACAAGCGTGCATGGCAATAGTTGTTCATGCACTGAATTTTCATTTAATGTTAGACATAGACACCTATATAAATACCTATACATTGTAAATAAACTGGCTTTAAAAAAAAAGAAATTCAGTTGAGTTTCTTGCCAGTTCTTCTCAATTGGATTTATATACTGAACTGGACGGTAGGGAAAAAATATAATACAAAAAATTTGACGTTCATAAGCGGCTAAAATGTCCTACATGAATAAATGTATAATAAATTGCAGTGGGGTCCACATATATTCACACTAGCCAAAAGACTAAGCTCGGCTGCTTTTGCTATCAGAAAAATTAGACAGTTGACTGATACTGCAACAGCGAAACTAGTGTATTTTAGTTACTTCCATAGTATAATGTCGTGTGGTATTATATTATGGGGAAGAGCGGCTGATGTAGAATCAATTTTTATATTACAAAAAAGAGCAATTCGTTCAATATATAATTTACTGTGTCGCGAATCTCTTAGAGAACGCTTTAAAGAAACAGGTATTCTTACTGTTCCCTCTCAATATATATATGAAAATATTATGTATGTACGCAAAAACTTAAATTTATTTCCAAAAAATAGTCACTTACACGCTTTTAATACAAGGAATAAAAATAAATTAAATATGCCTAGTTATCGTCTCAAAAAAGTAAGTACATCTTTCATGGGACATTGTATACGTTTTTATAATAAATTGCCAGATAGTGTTTTAAATTTAAGTGAAGCCAAATTTAAGATACATGTAAAAAAAACACTTTGCTCTAAAGCTTATTATAAAATAAACGACTACTTAAATGACTACAATGTGTGGACTTAATTACAATTTTAACTTTTGTTATGAGGTATATAATTTTTCCCATTGACATGGATAATGTAATAACAATAAAGAAACTTATTATAAATTTTGTAATGACATATTGTAAATTAAATAATGTAAATTTAATATTGTAATGGGTGAAAACTGTGATCGGTACAGCCTATGCTGTAAATAATATAATTGACGTAGTGGAGTAACCTGAAACAGTCATGCTCGCTATAAAGTTCAAACTTGTGGCGGCGTGGTGGGCCGGGTCGATGTGCTCCCTCAAATATGGTTGAGTACAATGATGGCTGGCTCATACGTCATACTCGTGAACGGGTGCTGCTTGTGGGGACTGGTCTGTTCAGGTTGTGAACACTGATTAAATTTTTTGTTCTTTGCGATAGCATATGCTGGTGGTCACTCTATTCTCCCAAATTTGAATTTTAATAACTGTATCTATCATAAACATGTTCCACTATTATTTGAAAAAATTACGAGCTGAGTTTCTTGTCAGTTCTTCTCATCTCGATATCATTCCGAACTGACGGTAGATTTGACATATCATAAGAGTCTGTAATAGACCTACATGAATAAAGATATTTTGAATTTTGAATTTTGAATTTTGAATGATTTTTGAATTTGTAAAAAGGATTTCTTGTGGTTCGCAGTTGGCCTTACAGCTTCATCGGACGATAGCGGGCGAGTGCAGATGGCACTCCAAACCAAAGGAAGGACTTATAGAGCGGCTGAAGGCCAACTCCCGCCTGATGGATACGACTAGTCTGAAGTCACCGTTTGGGGTAAGAACCTCGGATTTTTTTTATGGTTTGACAATCCTGCCTGCGCTAACGGTATACTACTCGATGGTTTTATATTAGGGAGGATTTACAATGCTTAAGGCTAGACGTATACTGTGCTGCTGGCTTATACAGGAACGGCGTACACTGAATTACTCCGAGGGGGGGAAGGGTATTGTTAGTAATGCACTAATGACCCCATTACTAGCAATGCATCATGTCAGGTTGACCTCCACGCGGTTACCCTTGGTCATAAATTCTTGGTGAATTAGTCACGATGTGCTGACTGACCTGACCTCATGCTCATCTTACATCGTCCACTGGTACCTCGCCAGCGTATACCGTTAGTATATATTTAATCGAATTAGGTGTCATTTTGCGGAAGTCCATTTCACTACTCGATGGTTTTATATGATTTTGTTTAATTCCGCTACAATTAACATGTGTGAGACTACGAATATTCGGTGTGGAAACCTGACCAGCGCTACGACCTTCTCCAGTGGTGATCAAATCCCGACCGTTATTGACTCTACACCCATATCGCGACACGTGTATCGCCTCTGAACGAGGCATCATCAGGCGTTAATTAGAGTTCGGGTACAGCTCAATAACGGTCGGGACTTTCCGAGTCGAATATTCTGGAGAAGGTCGTAGCGCTGGTCAGGTTTCCACACCGATTATTCGTAGTCTCACACATGTTAATTGTAGCGGAATTAAACAAAATAATATAAATCCATCGAGTAGTGAAATGGACTTCCGCAAAATGACACCTAATTCGATTAAATATATACTAACGGTATACGCTGGCGAGGTACCAGTGGACGATGTAAGATGAGCATGAGGTCAGGTCAGTCAGCACATCGTGACTAATTCACCAAGAATTTATCACCAGGGGTAACCGCGTGGAGGTCAACCTGACATGGTGTATTGCTAGTAATGGGGTCATTAGTGCATTACTAACAATACCCTTCCCCCCCTCGGAGTAATTCAGTGTACGCCGTCCCTGTATAAGCCAGCAGCACAGTATGCGTCTAGCCTTAAGCATTGTAAATCCTCCCTTTGTGCCGTAATCAGTGAACGCATTGTTTCCTGGTAGTATTGTACTCTTTGTAAAGTACATGTAGAATGCCTTTTGACTTCAGAGACTTGTCTGCAGAACTAATATTGGATGCAGAATCTACATATTAATAACATTTACATATAAATTGGAGTGTCTGTTTGTAATATTGAAATAAACGTTTTTTACTACATTCATATGAATATAAATACGATACATACACCAAAATAACATTTTTTACAATTTTTGTATGTCTGTTCCGGCTAATCTCTGAAATGGTTGGACCGATTTTGACGGGACTTTTTTTGGCAGGTAAGTATTATAATAAAGAGTAACTTAGGCTACTTCAATTTTAGAAAACACTTTTACTTTAGAAAAATAAAGTCAAATTCCACGCGGACGAAGTCGCGGGAACAGCTAGTTATTGTAAAAAACATCGTGGGTCACATGTGATTGTGTCCATCTGGATCTACCGCGCAGTAGTGGCGCGTGTAACTGACAGTCGAGTGATAGTATTAAGTGCGGATTACGTCGCCCCGAACGAACCCCTCACCAGGGCTGC